GGGCAACACACATTGTGTTCCTACAACCAAAACCTCCTCAGAGTCTCCTCCATTCCACATCTACCCCCACTCTGTTTCCAAAGGAGAAGCTTGGGGAACCAGCCTGTGGGTCACCCGCACCCCAGTTACCTGTCCTCCCCCTGTGTTCCTCCAACCAGGACCTCCTCAGACTCTCCTCCTCCCCACATCTACACCCACCCTGTTTCCAAAGGAGAAGCTTGGGGAACCAGCCTGTGGGTCACCCGCACCCCAGTTACCTGTCCTCCCCCTGTGTTCCTCCAACCAGGACCTCCTCAGACTCTCCTCCTCCCCACATCTACACCCACCCTGTTTCCAAAGGAGAAGCTTGGGGAACCAGCCTGTGGGTCACCCGCACCCCAGTTACCTGTCCTCCCCCTGTGTTCCTCCAACTAGGCTGAGCTCAGCCTCGGCTTCCACCGCACCCCCACCCCTACCCTCCATCCATGCCCAAATGCAAAGCCACGGAAGCAAACCTATGGGCTTCTGGAACTAGAGCTTTAATAAGAACACAACTGTGAGAAGGAAGGGTCGAGGCTGACCAGACACGCAGGGCTGCCTGTGGGAAGGGTTGGGCGGGATGGTCTGATGCTGGATGGGTAGATACATGGGGTGGATGGGCCAGTCAGCAACCCAGAGCCAGGCAGCAGCAGCAGCAGAGGCAGCATGGGCAGCCTGGGCAGCAGCAGGTCGTAGCTAGCGTGGCCGACAACGAGGATGACGAGGACCAGCTGGGACCGCCCGGGAGATGGTGGTGAACTGCAGCAGTTCGCTGAGAAAGGTGTTGTTGTAGACAGTAGCGTCCAGCAGCTGCGGGGTGATGAGCCTCTGGGCGCCTCGGCGTTGGGCCTCGTTGCTGGCCAGCTCCAGCAGCCTGCGAGTCAGGAACTCCAGGATGGCAGTCAGCAGGACCGGCACCGTTTGTCTCAGCCGCGGGGCATGGCCGCTCTCACGAAGATGGTGTTCCACCAGGCTCACAGAGAAGGTCAGGCCAGCTCTGGCGGTGCGGGAGCGGCCAGACGACGACGACCCTCGACGGCTGCTCTGCCTGGTCCTGGGCATGCTGGCCTCAGGTTGCGACCTCACAGGCTGCCTGGGCTCCACCTGGCTGCTGGCTGCTGGCTTGCCGGGCTCTGGGCCCCCAAAGTGATCCCAACGGTCGCCTCTGTGCCTGGTCACTTGTCCTAGGATACCCTTCAGGTTCGAAGCCCGGTCTCCCGCGCTCCGGCTCGGGCTCTCACTTATGACGTGTGATGTGGTGGCTCCCGACGAGCCCGCGCTAGGAGCACTGCGGTCACCTTCACACCTTCGCTTCTAGAAGGGGCCTCCTAGGAAAGAGAAAATCTGAGGAGGAGCAGCTCAGTGTTGCCATTGACAACCACGCCTTTCACAGCCCCGGCTCCTGAGGGCCTTCCACCTGGCCTCCCCATTAAGCACGAGCTCCCCGTCCCTCCGCCCCCAGCACCCCACGCGCCACTGTCAGTAAACCTGGGGGGTTTCACGTCTCGGTTCCAGAGACGCAAACTCAGAGTCCCAAGCATCCCGAGCAAACCTAGAGCTACAGCTTTCCCGTCCCTGGGGCCCCTTAGCCACGTCTCTGCTCTCTGCCACATCAGCTCACCTCTGAGTTCAACAGCTCCTGTAGGCAGACTCATTCGGCAAACTGCGGCCTCTTGCGGGTACCTGTGTCTGTCCGGTTCACTTAGCATCCTGGATTCACGATGCCTCGCACACACTCCACAAGTTCCTCGTGTCTCACCCCGCCGACAGAGCTGCTTGAGCCAGTGCTCCTCCATTCCTTTCGATAAGCGTTGCAGCCCCGGTGGCAGAGTATTCCGGCACCCGGGAGCCCCAGAATACTAAGCCATACGACTCGGATGGGAAAGTATTCAGGCAACCGGGAGCCACACAAAACTAAGCGTTACAGCCTGGATGGGAAAGCATTCCGGCACACGGGAGCCACAGATTACCACCGGTCACAGGAAGCTTAGCAGCTTACAGGCCTGCTCCAGGGAAAGGCTTCCCCATTGAAACAGCTCGGTTCCGGCAGAGGAGGGCAGGAGGGCTCCAGGGTAACAGCTCTGCTCTGGCAGGCAGGGAAGGGCTTCCCCAACAAAGAGGTTACAGTTTGGTTTCAGTCCCCCAGAGTGCAACAACTCTGCTTCCCCAGGGGAAGGCTTCCCTGGGGAAAGTGTCACAGCCCTGCTCCATCTCTGCACCAGAGAAGGAAGGTCATCACCCAAACAACTTTCAAGAGATTTATTGGGAGGGAAGAATCCTGGGGAGTGGCTGCCTCTGCCAGGGTGGAAGAAGAAAGCCTCAAACTGAACAGGCACAGGGTTTATACAGGGCTCGTTAGGGGCGGAGCTTTTTCCGGGGAGGAGACTTCCAAGGAGGGGATTGGTCAGATTTCAGTCGCCGGGCTCAGATTGACTAGAGCTCCTGCTCAGGGATTGGTTGGTTTTCTGTTCAGGATCAGGGGCAGATTTGGCTCTGGCTTCAGGGCCAACCTGTGTTTCTTTCTCTGGTCCTTTTTAGTCTTTTGGCTCCAGTTTTAGGGCAAGGGTGCATTTCTGTCACAGGTACAAAGTGTGTTCCTTTGGCACTGGTTCCAGGGTTAGGGTGCATTTCTTTGGTTCTGGGTGCAGGTCCAAAGTGTGTTTCTTTGGCTCTGCTCAGGGTGTGTTTCTTTCTTTGGCTCTGCTCAGGGTGTGTTTCTTTCTTTGGCTCTGCTCAGGGTGTGTTTCTTTCTTTGGCTCTGCTCAGGGTATGTTTCTTTCTTTGGCTCTGCTCAGGGTGTGTTTCTTTCTTTGGCTCTGCTCAGGGTGTGTTTCTTTCTTTGGCTCTACTCAGGGTGTGTTTCTTTCTTTGGCTCTGCTCAGGGTGTGTTTCTTTCTTTGGCTCTGCTCAGGGTGTGTTTCTTTGGCTGGCCCCTTTTCCCCTACACTTCCCACACCCAAGTAATAGTTCACTGTATATGCACAGGTCAGTTTACTTATTCCCTCTCCTGCTGACTAGCACTTGGGTGACCTCCACGTTTTGAAAGAAAAAAATAGCAAGATTTCACAGTCTTATTAGGTGAAAACAGAGATTGACATCTACCGGGTTGTCAAAAGATTACCCCCCAAACATATTTCATTAGGAAACAAAAGTGGAAGCCGGCTGTCCAGTAGAGGACAAGCATAAGCCAGCATGGACACCTGTTCAGCTCCTTCAGAGAGACCTGTGAATCCCGCGGTGAGAGGAAATGAAGAATGCAGCAAAGGAAACTTTCACAAGGCTGGAGAAATGGGGTGGGTGTCTGCATGTTTGAACACTGAGAAGGGGCAGATGCTGGCCCATTTGGGAGAGAGAGGAGGCACACAGTTTAGGAAGTCAACATTGCAGACCCTTAAGAGGTGGATGAGACAAGAGTGGCCTCTGATACAGGTCTAGTAGCACTGGCAAGGAATGATGAGATTCCGGTGTAGGATGGCACCAGTGGGAATGTAAGACACCACGAAGTACTACTGCAGAAGGGAGAGTCACAGGACCCACCACCACTGATAACTGGGTGAGGAGGAGGAGAAATGCAGTCCTCTACATAATAGCAAAGGCCTTGTGTGCTTCCCCCCATATTGAGAACAGAAGATGTGCATACACACTTGCCCACGATTGCCTGTGACATTGTGTGTGACCATGGCTATACACACACACACAGAGACACACACACAGAGATAGAGATAGAGATAGAGAGAGAGAGAGAGAGAGAGAGAGAGAGGAGAGTCATAATAAAAGAGAAGTGCCATGATGTGAGAGAAGGCAACTGTGATGCCTGTTGTCAATTTGGCAGAACTTAGAATTATCTGGTAATTGAGCTTCTGGGTATCTCTCTATGTGTGGGCAGTTTTCTAGGTTATGGTAGCTGAGGTGTGCATACTGCCCCACTGTGGGTGACACCATTCCCTAGGCAGGTGAGTCTGAACTGTATAAGAGTGGAGAATGCTAACTGAGCACTACCATAACGAGGAGGATGATTTTAAAAGAAACAAACAGAAAATACCATAATCCTCGACAAAAGACCGATGCAATTCATTCAAGCAAGTTGATTCTCTGAAACTCATGAGCACATGCTTTAGGGATAATTTCCCCTTAATTTGTATCTATTAGAGAATCGTAGGAGAAATTCCACAAAGTAAAAGAATTCCCTGAGAGACTCTCATAGCATGTGTGGTTATCTCATATTTTCAAGTTTAATTCCAACAGGGAGAAGGAGAGAGAGAGAGCAATTATTTCAAATGGCAGCCAGGGAAAGGGTAAACCTAGAAGCATTTGGCACTCAGAGCATTGCTTCTGAGTCTCCTGCTGCTATCCTCAGCTTGTTGTGAGATCCAGGCCCCTATGATGGGAAAGCAGCAGGGTTATGGGACACTGGGAGGTTGAAGAAGTTGCAAGGAGGCATAGGAAAATAAGACACACTTTAGTCACTTTAAGACAAAGGCTGCACTGGTGCTGGTGGCGCACTCCTTTAATCCCATTACTCGGGAGGCAGACACAGGCGGATCTCTGTGAGTTCGAGACCAGCCTAGTCTACAAGACATAGTTCCAGGACAGTCTCCAAAGCCACAGAGAAACCCTGTCTCAGAAAACAATAACAACAAAACAAAGACTGCTAGGCAGGCAGCCAATGGCAGGTGTCCTTGAATGCCTGCGCAGGCACAGGGCCAACACACATGAGAACCACATGGGTGGTTGGTCCAGGGAACACATGGTGGTATGAACGGAGGCCTGCCAACAAACACACAGGCAGGCTGGCTAAGGCAAAGGCAAAGGCAAAGGCAAAGGCTCAGGCCTCTGGTCTTAAGGCCACCTTTATATAGGATCCATAATGAAAAAGCAATATTTTTAGTAAAAAACAGGAGATCTTTGAAGAAGCTAAAAAAGCATGCCCACAGCTTGGTGATGGTGATGCATGCCTTTTAATCCCAACACTTGGGAATCAGAGACAGGCAGATCTCTGAGTTTGAGGCCAGCCTACAGAGCTCGTTCCAAGACGCCAGGAACTCACAGAGAAACCCTGTCTGAAAACCAAAGAAGCCAAAAGCGTGCAGACAAGCCATTTAGTCAATGATCGGGTGCCTGGCAGCCCAGCGCACTGACCTTCCAAGATAAAATATCCATTGGTTGGAATGATGTAGCACCCAATAGGACCCGAGTGTTCAGCTACCTGCTCCTGATGTCACCCATACCACCTGCTGCCATTCTGTCCCTGGCACTGTGTATTCTAACTCACTTGAACGATAAGTCCAAATAAATTCTTTCTTCTATCAAATGCCTTGGTCATGTTGTTTTAGCACAGCAGCAGAAAACTAACAGATTCAATGAAATACCCATCAAAATTCTCATAACATTCTTTACAGATCTAGAGGAAAATAATAATCCTAAAATTTACATTGGTGCACACATATGCTGACTAGGCAAAGCCATCCTAAGCAAAAGTTAATGCTTCAGGTACTACAATACCTGATCTTAAATTACATGATGATGTCATAGTTACAAATACAGCATGGTACTGGCTCCCAAACAGATCCACAAATCAATGTAATTGAATGGAAGACATAGAAATAAACTCATACAGGTCGACCCTCCTGTTTGTGGCAGAGGCGTTGTGATGGTTTGGATGAGAATGCCCCTGTCTTAGTCACTCTTATAGTGCTGTGAAGGCTCACCATGACCAAGACAATGAGCAAGGCAACTCCTAATTCGGCAAAACATTTAACTGGAGGTGGGGGGTGAGGGTGGGGTCGCTTCCCTTCAGTTTCAGAGGGAGAAAGGGAGGGAAGGAGAGAGACAGAGAGAGAGAGAGAGAGACAGAGACAGAGACGAGAGCAGAGACAGAGACAGAGAGAGACAGAGGCAGAGACAGAGAGACAGAGACAGAGAGAGACAGAGAGAGACAGAGACAGAGAGACACACACAGAGAGATGGCCATTTAAACTTTCTAATTTCCATCTGAAACAAACCTTAAGGCACTTCTTCCTTTTTCATCACCATGGTATCACCTTAACAATCAAGAGACATAGGTGGTTGATTGCTGAGGGCAGCCAATAATAAATTTGTTATATTAGAATCTGTTTTGTGAGTCTCCCTTTTGAGGCTGGGAGTGTGAGTATCTATAGCATGTTCCTGAACACCTGGGCATGTCTGATACTTTGCGCCTGAAGCTCTGTGGCCAATGGTGGTCCCTGTAACAACAGCTGAGTAGTTAATTAGAAATTGGACTATGTCATTGGAGACACAGAGGGAAAATTGAGGAAGCAGGGTGTGTTCAGTAGAGACAGAAGAACGTGGATGGGGATCAGGAAGGAAAACATATGGGGTTCCCTGTCCAGTGGAGTTGAGTACAATTGTGGGGTGAAGCCTCATTATCCTGGAATTGGAAACAAACCAGTTGATCTTGGTGTCCTCTGAAACTTAAGGGAACAAGGCCCCGTTTGAGTCACTGAGTGTGAGGAGAGACTATCCTGAGGTTGGGGAGCAAAGGGTTTGAGGTGAGATAGGTGAATCCAATGAGGAAGGTCCTCAAGCTTAGCAGCTGTGGGGGTTACAAGACCTACCTTAAAGAGGCCCTGCCATTTAGGGGGAAAGGATAAGGGGCATTGGTCTCGGCATGAGAG